TTCCGTGATGACTATTACGTAGAGTTTGGTAAACAAAGTCAGGACAGAGTGTTGGGAACTAAAGACTTCGCCGCTCACGTCAGTACTTATTTGAATAATTTTGTGAAAACAACTAAATTGTGTTTTTTGTGCAACAGTTGTATGACTTACCGACCGGTAAAATGGTTCACACCTATCAGGACGAGAACCTATCGAACCGTTACGTGAAAAATAGGGCCACTTTTCATCCGTCAGATGATCTCATACTTAACGATGGAGTTCTGTGGGACACTCGCAGTGCCACTCCTGTCCATAAGTTTGACAAATTTAATGAACACATTAATGGAGTATTTCATCCGAACGGTCAAGAAATCCTTTCCAACTCAGAAATCGTAAGCTATTCACTAGTTTTGTATTGTTTTGCAAATTGTTTAATATTTGTTTCATAATTGCCTTTTGACTGATTAGTGGGACATCAAGACATTCCATCTGTTGAAGACAGTGCCAGCCCTGGATCAGTGTCGCATCAAATTCAATAATATAGGAGATGTCATATACGGAGGTATTTGTTTGCATATACAGTAAATCCAGTGAACAATGAATTAATGAAATTATATTTCAAACGAAAGCCGTCTTCGAAGAGGAGAACTCTGAAGAAGAGGACCAATCGAAGAGTCCTTACGGCTCGTCGTNAAACCTCATTCCCACATAAGTCTTGTAAATCTTGTGGCACTTCTCGTATGGACACAAATACGGAGGTTTTGTCGCCTTTATGTTCGACAGAAACGACTTGCAGTCAAAGTCTAACACCATTTCCACCAACTTTACCACCGATTCACTGATTATCTCTAAATTTAATTATCGTCAATCAATCGCGACAATGGTTCCGACAGTTCCCACATCTGCGGCACTCATGAGTCCCTGTATTTCACTGCAAATCAGATCAAAAGAGTGGTGAAAGTGATGCGGGATGTGGTGAGAGGTGTCATACAAACCATAATCAGTGGTCTCCGAGTGTCTCATCAGATGCAATGGTGTGCACCGCAAGTGATGGCAGATATGAATGAATCAAATGTCAAAATATATCACAAATGAAAAGAAATTTATTTACAATTTATGCGAAATGACCGCAAATTGTGTCCGAAATGGACTCAAATGTGATGATTGAACTAAAGTGTGATTGTATTGAAAGCATTGAATGATTGGATGAACGGATCAATAGTTTGCAAATCAATTGAAATGCAAATAATGTTTAATTGAATTGCGTTTAAAAAGTGATGAAAATTAAAAATAGAGACAAAACTGTAGATTAGACGCGAAAATAGAGAAAATACAAACAAATGCTCACAAAATGGGTTNGGATCAATAGTTTGCAAATCAATTGAAATGCAAATAATGTTTAATTGAATTGCGTTTAAAAAGTGATGAAAATTAAAAATAGAGACAAAACTGTAGATTAGACGCGAAAATAGAGAAAATACAAACAAATGCTCACAAAATGGGTTTCAATTAATACGACAAATGCATTGAAATGCATACGAATGCTGACTACCAGTGCCTACCAGACCCTACACCGCCTGCAGTACACAACTCGTACACAATCTGTGGACTGATTGCAGGCATAGCTCGCGCTGTGTGTCTACAAAGTGTGCGCCACTGACTGACTGCGGGCTGAGTGAGGGTATGGGCGGAGTGTGTGATTCATGAGAGTGTGTGACGTATGCGTGTGTATGGAGTGGTGTTGTCTAACAGTGTATGCGTTGTAGTGTTGAGTAGTGTTTGCATTCGTAGGCAATACTGAGTGAGTGCTTGAATCGCAACGAACACTACGTTTTGACGCCATTTCGCACACATTTGGGTCACAACGGAGACCACATTCCCGACGAACCACAGGTTAGTGCGCTCTCTCACGAGCACCGATACACCGGTGCCCGCAGTGGACACCACTCGCGAGTGGACGGCAGTGGCCATGGATGCCAACAATGACAGCTCCTGAGTCCAAAATGGCGATCACTCACGGCTTCCCACAATGCAGTCACGAACGGCTCAGCCCTAAGCCCCGCCCTAATCACGAAACACTGCCACTAGTGCTGTGATTGGCCGCCACTGGACTCACGCGCCATACAGTCAGCCATTGACTGCATGGGTGTCCTCTTTGGCGCTAAACATGATTTTGACAATTGATTTGTCGCTCAATACTAATGACATGTTTTGGTGTTGTTTTGAACAGATAGTGACCTTTTGGTGGACTCTTTGCACTGATTTCGTGANTGACATGTTTTGGTGTTGTTTTGAACAGATAGTGACCTTTTGGTGGACTCTTTGCACTGATTTCGTGATTAATAAATAGTCACAAAATGCTGTATTTAGAGGACTATTTGGAAAGTATGTCTACTTTAGCGGCATTTGTCACATAATGTCCACTCATTGACCATTTCATAAGTTTTGAAAATTGAATCCAAAATAAAAGCAATTAATAAAATGAATGAAGAAATGCATGCATTTTACACATTATTGTTGATATGATATGTATTATAACTGTGTTTAATGACAATCACTTTTCACACAGTGATTGAGCACTTACCACAAGAACTCAGAGATCGCTTTACAGAAATGCGTGAAATGGATCTACAAGTTCATAGTAAGACATTCTTGTATTATCTCCTACCATAGAACCACTATAAGTCTAGACTTACTTTACACTTATTTACCCATTATTGCTATCATTACCGTTACTATCCATCCATAAGGTGTAAGACTTGCTCTTAATTGTTGGGATTACCACTCAGTCTATGATTAACTATACGATGGGTTCTCTCCACTGATAACCTCTTGATTTGATTGATTAGTCTCTAATTGTAATTATGTTTAGTATCGGGAAATGTGGAGTGAATGTGAATGTGTTGTTCGCGTGGATTGAGTGACTGATTGACTGATGTATGTCTTGTATTGATAGACGCGATGGACAACTTAGAGGAACAGACCAAACAGTTCTTTAGTAACGCAAAGGTCATGAAAACAGAGCAAAGAGACCTCGAATACGACCGAATAAAACAGGTTTGCAATGAATGTCTGCAAGCATTTGGTGATTAACTAAACTCGTATTGCATTCAATGAACGGCTCGTGTACTGAAGGACTACTACAAGACCTTAGAGGACGCTGAAGAGAAGGTGCACTTAGCGAATCAGATCTACGAACTCGTGGACAAATATCTCCGACGATTAGACCAAGAGTTGCAGAAATTTAAGATAGAATTAGAGGCCGACAACTCAGGCATCACTGAGGTCTTAGAGAGGAGTGAGTCCTGAAGGCAATCCCTGTCCAATGACTCCCTTATACAATGTCTGTGTGTCTGTCCACTAAAGGGTCGCTAGAGTTGGATAACCCGCCGCCCGTTGCCGTCAATCACGTGCGGGAGAAGCGCAAGTATACGTTT